CTCCTCCTCCTCCTCCTGCTCCTCCTCCTCTTCCATCCCTCTTCCTCATACACAGGTTGTCCCTGTCGCACCTGTCGCAAGCCCCGGACGTGTCGGTAGGGCGGGCCGGATGTTGCACTTGAGAAGCCCTGAAGCTTGAAATTTGCAACTTCTCGGATGGAAGGCGGACCGTTTGCAAAATGTGGCTCTCGCTGTTTGGCCGCGCGTACTCATCTTGAGCATTTGCAGCAGCTTCACGGATGGCGGGCGGGCCGCTTCCAACAAATGGATGCCGCCCCAGCTTGATCTGGCCACGGCGCCACAGGCACCCTGAGCCCGATCTTGCGTGGTCGCACCCGTGAAGAAGGTGCGCCGTTGGACAGAGGGCCCCCGAGGCGAGGTTGGTGGGCGATCCCTCGATCATGTGCCCGAAGCGCCGCAGCTGGCCCGTCATGTGCGTGAGCTTTGCTATGTTCGTGGGGTAGGCCATGCTGCAGTGTTGCAGAATCATGGCCAGCTGAATGTTCCGTACGCCTACCGCGCGCAGCAGGAGGAATCTGAGGCCTTCGTAGCCGATCATGGCCAGCACGCTGCGCTCGGTTGCGGTGGATGACGAACCTCGTGGGGAGGTTGCCGATTCGCTCTTGCGGCAGTCGGTTGAAATCGTTGTCGCCGACACGCCGAAGTGCGCTCCTGCTCGCCCAGTTGGCCCCACCGTTCGGCCAAACTGCGCATCAGTAGTATCATCGGTGGCACTGGGCTGCCGTGCGTGAGCCCCCCCTGGATCAGGACAGTTGGCGGCCATTTGTCCTACGCGCTCGCGCGCCATGCCGGCGAGGCACGACGAGACGTAGGCCGCTTGGCGGAATTCGTTGAGATCTGAATTCGCCATTGACCAAATCATCACCTCGCGCCCCGGTCTCTGGAAAGGGTACGCGAGCCTGATGCTCGGGCCCCCAAGTGCGGAAGTGACGCATGCTGCCGCTGCCGCCGCCTGCGTCCACGCAGGAAAGGCAGCTGGTGACGGCAACCGTGCCCATTCCGATAGCCTTCCATCTGGAGTGTAGTTCCTTTCGCGTGTCGTAGCGGTGCTGGACGCTGGAGGTCCACCAGCGGCGCTGCTCGGGCAGGGTGCCTCCAAGCCGCCGTGGACACTTGTCCCGAATGTGTTCCTCCTCGTCTGCGCATCGTGCGCGTGCGCGGTTGCGGTGCTTTTGGTACTCGGAGCATCCTGTGGCACACTCACTCCCAGGAGTGCTCATCGCACGTCGTCTTGTCAATGCACTGAACACCGCCAACTGAACGATCGTCAAGAGGAGCACGCCTCGGGACCCAGTCCTGCCAGGATGCAGCAAATTTGTTGGTGGGATGAAAGGCCATGCTCCAAGAAATCGGATGCGTGTTCTCCAAAGTCCGCTTCGCGGTCCTTCGGAATGCTGGTAACAGAATCACCCGACCTCCATCGTCTTCCCGCTCTTCTCTGCCTGTGCCTCCCAAGGCTCTCCTGACACAGTCACCAGAAGCTCGGGGCCCCAGACCGACACCGCATATGCCAACGTTGCGTCGAACAACTGTCCGACATTCGCAAGTCTTCCAACAGGCGGGTGTTGCGAGAAAGTTGGGTCCGCGAGCTACGCTGACACAGTCAGCGCGAGCCCGGGCTGGACTGCTGAGAGTTCTGGCGTGCGGCTGGTGTCCTTGAAGGTCTCGCTCACGTATTGGCAGTGGCACTGGTTGCGCACGTTCCCGGTCAGTGGTCCTGGAGGCGGAGGGACGGCTGCCCCATAGGTGAGCGGGGAGAGGTGCGCGAAGGCGAGACTAAGAGCGGATGTCCAACGAGATGACCAGCTGGACGTAGAGCGGCGCGATGTCGAGCGGCGGGAAGTTGGAGCCTGTGCTGTCGAAGCGAAGCGAGAACGAGAAGCCATTGCGGCCGTGGCATGGGAGCCTAAACCCTGCTGCCACCTAGAAAATGGGTTGTAGGAACAGCTGTAATGTAAAGCGGGATGCTGGTGTATAGCAGATGTAAAGCGGATGGTATCACGTATTGACAGCTCGCTAAGTTGCAACCTGCAATGGTAGCGGCAAGGGCAAACAAGGAACAAAGTACATGGACAGAGCTGGTACTGTTGGAATGGGGGGTAGAGGAGGAAGGGGGGAGGAGGGAAGACGAGGAGGAGAAGGAGGAGGAGGAGGAGGAGGAGGGCGATCCCCCTCCTTCTCCCTCCCCCTCCCCCTTCCCCTCCTTCTCCCCATCAACAAGGAGCTGCCTGTACGTCTGTAGGCCGGCGCTTACGGGCACCCACGCACACTGCAGTGGGGTCGCACAGAGCGTAATCATGTGTAGAGGTATCGGCGGTATCGCATTCTGGAGTACTCCTCTTCCTCCTCCTCCTCCTCCTCTGCTCTTCCTCCTCCTCTTACCCCCCATTCCCTTTCTTCTCTACCTCTTCCTCCTCCTCCTGCTCCTTCACTGGGCTCGGCGGGGGCTTCGGCGGACGGAACAAATCTCGACGGCCGGTTCCCAGCCCTCCCACGTCCTAAAAAACGTAGTGAAGACACAGCTTTATTATTACATTCCCAACCTCCCGGCTCCCATTTCCGGCCGTCGAGAAACGATCCACCGATCCACGATGCGGGGTCGAGAGGTCCAGGAGCCACGTACGTGTTGAAAGGTCCAGGCGCCCCAGCCGGCTGATCCTCCTCGTCCTCCTCCTCCTGCTCCTCTTCCTTCTCCTGCTCCTGCTCCTGCTCCTGCTCCTCCTCCTCCTCCTCCTCCTCCTCTTCCTCCTCCCCCCTCTTCCTCCGCCTGCGCCTCTCTCTCCCTCAGACCGCCCACCCCTTCTCAGTACCTCACTCCCCCTCCCCACACCTTCCTCCTCTCTCCCCTCCCCCTGCCTCCCTCCCCGTCCTCTTCCTCCTCGTGCACGTGCTCCTGTGCTGCCGCCTCCCTGCTCCCTTCACGTCTCAGCACCATCGCCCACCTCCCCTCACTTCTCGGCACCATCGTCCACCTTTTTCTCCTTGCTGCCTAACCTTCTTCTCCTCGCCCCGAGTGACCTCTCTCCTTTGTCCTCTCCGCTCTCCTTCCCCTGCCCCCGCCACCGTCTCCTCGCCATTGCTCCCCATCCCTCCACCTCCATATCCTCTGGCTTGTCCCTCCTTGTCTTACTTATCCTCCTAAATTGTCCACGTCCTCAACACATCGTACTTAATCGCTTATTTCTCTCACTTCTTTACATTATTTGGTCTCCTCCTCTCCTCCTTATCCCCCGCTTACCCTTAGTTCTCCTTCTTCCTACCTGGTCCTTCCTCATCCTCCCTCATTATCCTGGGCCCTCGCCGTCATCCATCTTACCTTGGTCGTCCCTTCCCTTTCCCCATCTACTCGCCTCCTCCCAACTCGCCTTCTCTTCCGCCCCCTCCCCCCCATGACCAAACACCGAAAGGGGAAGATAGTCATCCGTGTCGGCAGCGTCGCTGCCAGGAAGAGCACGAGGAGGGGGCGGAGACATCCTTCTTCTCTCCCTTCTCGTGTCCCGCTTCTCGTGGGATGGCAGCCGCGCAGGAGTTCTTAGCGATCGTCTACCCAAGCGTGAGGGCCGCGCGCCTGCTCCGCTGTAAAGCGCTGCGCAGACGTGCGCCTCCTGCCTCCCACACGGAAGTGCCATCGCACGAACACCAACTCTTCTGACAAGACGGGGCGCTCCAACGACGACTCGAATTTTCGCGTCAGACACCCCACCAACAGGCCGCCACCACTCGCTGGACACTGAGAATGGCGTGAGCCTAAGTAAAGGGAAATTAGGACACACAAATAAATACACACAAATAAAAATAGTCCCCATATTTTCCCATATTTTCTGGGTTTTTGTCTTCCCCCCCAATTCCCATATTTTCCCATATTTTCCTGGGAATCGAGGATTAATTGTGTCTGTGTGTTTTTTTCCCTCCTGACTAAGGGCTGCCGCCGACACGACTGTGCCTCGGAAGTTCGAAGGCCCAAGGTCGGTGGACCAAGAAGATGGGGCCCCGAGGAGAACGGGGTCCCAGGGACGTGGTGCCTCTGACAGTGCAACTCCACTATGGAATCCACTCCTACCCTCACACGTCGTTCATTTCTGACCGTGCTCATTTCTAAATTGTGCTCGTTTCAAATTTTTCCTGGTCCCCCAGTGGCCAGGAAGAGGCCCAGGATAGAACACTTAGAAACGAAAGGATCTTGCCCCCCCAAAAATCGAAGAACTCTCGAAGAATTAGACATGAGCAGTGCGTATTGGATCCGTTCCTATCCTTAGGTCCCCATCCCTCAGAGCCCCGTCTTTGAGCCACCCCGTCTTCGAACCACCGACACGGGGGAGGGGCACGGGGACCGACGCAAGCACCGACGACGCAGGACGCTTCGTCGACGACTCGAACGGTTGACGCCCCGCCCTCGGCGGAGGCCGACGGGAGGCCCGCAGACGGCGGACGGCTGCGCCCGCGGGAGCTTTTGGAAGGAAGCCGGCGCCGGCCTCCCCCTCTTCGGGAGGTGGCTCCAGGCTCCCCCGACCCACGGTGCCCCCAGCCCTTGGGAAACCTTGGGGGCACCTCGGGCCAGGGGCGCTTCTGGAGGAGGAGGAGGAGGAGGAGGAGGAGGAGGAGGAGGAGGAGGAGGAGGAGGCTGGCCTGCGCCGGCAAGGCCGCATTCGTTGCACCTCCGCCAACTTCTGGGGCCCCTCCGCCGGCAGAGGCGCCCTCGCTCCAGCACGGTTCTCTGGGCCCTCCGCCAAGGGCGGGCAGGTCGATCCCTGGATCCCTAGAGGGCGGAGCCCTTCCTGGAACGCCTTGGATCTGTTCTGGTGGGCGGAGTATGGAGAGGAGCGTGGGGCACGACACTGTTCTGCACACGCCCAAGCCGCCTCACAAAAGAAGCCCGAAAGCAACCCCCTGAAGACGCCTCTTCAAGGGCTT